GGGATATGTTATCTGCCACTTCGTCTAGTTGGGGGTTCCACCATGGTCGTGCCTTGGGGCTCGGTTTTCTGCGGGGTATTGTCTCCTCTGCCGCTGCTTCCATTGCGTCCATTATCGCATTTGCTGCATTGTCTAATTCCTCTGTAGATGGTATTCTTGAAGTATCAGCAATTCGTTTGACAGTGTCATGGTACTTAGCTATTTGGGTTAGGTATTCTTCCTTGAATTCCTCTGGTTTTGCTGCCTTGTAATTGAAGCATGTTGCTGTAATGTTCTCGATCTCTATCAGCTCTGGGTCTACCGTCCAGACGATAGGGAAATGGTCTGAGCCATATGACTTGCTGTAGTCTATGGCCCACTCTTTGATCACTTCCTCTCTTCTCGCCTGCTCGTTAGACCATGTTAGATCGATTACTGAAGCTTTACCCCGTGTTACAGAGTGCGGCATAAATGTGATCTTTCCCTTCTTGTTGTGTATCGTATATCCCTTTTCTTCGAGCCATTGGACGATCTCTCTGGTCAAAGTTCTACAGTTTCGTATGGTACCGTGTGCCCAAAGTCGGTGGTGGATGTTCCAGTCCCCTGTTATAGTCACTGGGACTCCCGTGGGGATGTTTAGGTCACGTAGTCGCCATCCGAGGCAGTCGCGTGAAAGATCCGGGTCGTTGTATATGTTGATGAAGACGTATCTTTTTTCTCCGCATGATATGTCCAGTATCTGTACGTCTCGGTGAGATATGATATCTGATCGGACGTTCACCTTGAATTTCCCCCCCTTCTTGATGTATGACATAACTCTTGGTGGGGGGTCATTTCTTCTCAACGATGGGCATGGTAGTAGTGGCGTCCAGTCAGGGTGGCCAACCGGCCCTTGCACTGTTCCATTGGCATCAGCTCCGATTCTTTCCCAGTTGGGTTCTTGTACTAAGAATATGTCGTAGTCGTTGATGTGTCTGTTGAGAATTGTGTGAATAGTCTCCTTTTTCTTGTTAGCATTTAATTGAAAAAACCGTATTCGGTGTGCATTCGGGAGCCTCTGTTGTCTGTCTTGGCTCATTGTGAATTTCCGTTTGTGGTCTCGCTGTGTTCGGTCTCATCTGTGGTGATTTCCATGCTTGTCGCTGCGACTCCTGGGATATGGATTTGGGTGGCGAGAGCCTGGAAGATGTTGGTGCCTGATGTGGCGGGGGGGGCTGTCGACATTGGGTTGTTCTCGTCAGATGGTTTTTTCCTGCTTCTCCTATCTTTAGCTGTCTTCCATTCATCGTTTACCCCCTTTTTAGAGGGGCGTGTATTGGTACGAATTTCTCCTAGTTTTAATAGGCGTTCAGGGCACCATCTTGCATCTGCAGTGTGTGCATCATCTCGTCCCTCTTTCCCCATGCAGTTAGCACATCGTACTATATGGTCGCAGTCTGTCTGTAGTTCGTTGGGGTAGCAGTTGACAGCCTCTGCTTCTATTTTGCATCCGTCGCAGTGTTCGTTATGTTTCTCTTCGGGATGTTTCCCTCCACACCGGCGGCAACGTGTTTCGTTCTGGCAGTTGTTCTTCATGTGACCGAAGCTTTGGCAGTTCTGGCAGCGTGGCAGGGGTTTTCTGTCTGCAAATGGCTTCACTGCTATAGACCGTCCATAGGCTGCGAGATACTTAGCTTTGTGGATCAGATAGTTGTATGCCTCCTCATCTGAGGTGGCAATTTTAACAGAGGAATATGCTTGCTGCCATAGTTCGCTTTCTGGGCGCACCCATGTTGGCTTGAGTTCAAGAGACAGGTTCTGGAAAATGGGATTGTTAGCTTTCAGTTCCTCTAAGATTTCATCCGGAGAGTAGATGTGGGTTTCAGCTCCAGGCATGACAAAGTCATATGCTCCTGTTCGGACACCATGTAGCAGCAGTTTCCCCCATTTGGCAGTTGTCTGCACAATGCATTCCTTTCCTCGGGTGAGGATTGGAGCAATGCGGTCACTAAATCTTAGTAGATCTGTTGCATTCTGGTCAGTGCGGAGTGTTAAGATGATATTGTCATTTGCATTCCACTTCACCGTGGTTACACAGATGTGTTTCGAGTCGTTGTGTTTTGCAAGTTCCAAGTTTACCTCTTTCACTAAGGTGAGTGCATCTTTTCGCTCTAGTGGATGTACCTTCTCCCCTGGGAACTGGAATACTAGTCTCGAGTGGTGGTTCGGGTCCATGGGGTTCACTGTGGGTGGCTTTTGTGTCGGGTTTTTGCCTTTGTCATTTTTTGTTATGCTAGTGTAAGTTTGGGTCGCATTTGGGGCACCTTGCCGTTTTGGGATGGCTGGTGTGTTTGCCAGTAGCTGATGGCCTAGATCTCTGATCTCCATTGCAGTCGTTGTTTTCATGTCTGCCATGGCTCGTTCAAGTCATTCTGCAATCTTCTGTGTTGTTTCTAGAGCCTTCACCATCTTCTCTGGTTGGTAGTTCGGTTCCCCTGTCAATAGGTTCAGTAGTTGTCGGGTTTTCTCGATAGTCATCCTTGGGATGTCCTGGTGGTCAGTCTTAAGTCGGTGTGCACATCCCAGAGCTTCGTCTATGGCTCTCTTGAGTGCTTGTGGTCCCTCTAGGCTCTGTATGCTGTTCCAACTGTTATTGGGAATGTACTGTATTGTGTCGTCATGGTCACCGAGCATCTGGTCATCGTTGTCCTCCTCCAGGTCTTCATCAATTGATTCTATTGTTATGGTCTCCACGGGTTCCGGGCGGCCCGAGAACACGTCCTCGGTTGTGTCCGATCCCAACAGGGTCACATGGTGTTGGTTTTCGATGTGGCCACGGGTGTTCGGATTCGGGGTGGGGGATCTATTTCTATCATCAGTGGTGCTTCTTCCTTGACGTGCGGTGTTAGATGGGTATGGGGTGGTACCGTGTTGGTGCCTACTTCCAGGATCCTTCTGGATCCCACGAGCTCTCTGTCCAGCTGTTGAATCGAGGCTGCCCTTTTTCTTGGTTGGGCTGAGGAATTTCGGGATGGAAGGGATTAGTTTTCTGTGTTTTTGGGGGGTTTTAGATGGTGATTGGGGGTTGCTTTCGCTCATTTTGTGCTTACTTCGACCTCTATGTTCACCTATCCGGCTTTCATCCGCCTCTAATGGCATGGGAAATCTGATGGTGATGGCAATCAAGAGTAAAGAAGGACTTGTACCTTATTGACTTGACTTGGAACCACCACTGTCCTTACTCTATACGACGGAATATACCCTTCCTTCGGATCCAATATGCCTTCCTCCGAATCGCCAGCATCTAAATTCCAACAGGAGAGGCCAAAGGAACACATCAATCTGGCCTCCACTGCCTCAGCCTGAGCAGCATGGATCCTATCCAACATCATGTTGCCTCCCTTCACTACTACACTGACCACGACGTTAGCGATCATAACTGCAATGACAGCTGCAAAGAAAAAGAGCTGGAAAATGAGTGCATGGCATGCTTTTTGAGCTCTAGTTGAGACAGCATCAACAGGAATAGTCATGTGTGAAATTACCCATATAAGCAGAAGCCAGACAGGACTCAAAACAAAGGCACCCAGCATGCAAGCTCTGAAGAATTCAGAGTAATCCATCAGGGAAGGGACAGGCAAAATGATGAAATATCTAAAAGTAGAAAATGTTGTGACTGAGAATATGTACAAGATCCAGAGCATGAGCATATTGAGGAGCATAGTACTATAGTAGATCCACTTTACTGACTGTGGTGAGCAAGAATAGATCACTGCTGTATGTTTAATGAAGGAGCAAAAATTCCACAATATGTCAAAGAATGTTGAATCTGAGATGAGGGGTGATACTGTTGATGGTGCTGGGACACTCATGTTGAGGTTGGGAATCCCTTGCATTCCAGGATCCAGGTTCATCAGTGGGACAAATTGTTGCACATAGAATCCATAGTCCATTGTGCTTTAGACTGCACTGTAAAGAGATTAGGATACTTGTAGGACCCAATAGATAGAGAACCTATATCTGAAAGCAGTGATGAGAGTCAGGCCTAAGGGATGATGCTGAGGCATGAGGCCTTCATAGGATTCAAGAGGTCCATTTTCATGAGCCAGTGCAATCTGAACAATAGAGAACATTTCCAGCTCCATTGATGTGGTTGTCAATAACCATGATGGAGAAGACAAGACCATAAGCACTCAAAAGGCTTCCTTTGCAAGTATCCAAGAGCTGTATTTCTGGCTCTCTGTTCACAGGTATTGCTATGGAACATATTAAATACCAGAGAAGCCAGACATATCAAGAAACAACAAGGAACACAGGAAAGAACCAGATGTGACTGTAACAACAAATTATGACCATTAAGATGCCAGTCATAGCCTTTCCCACATGTAAAGATGTGTTATGATTTTCTCTTCTTTTGCCTGAATCAACCCCTATTTATGCTTAGTCAGGGCACTAGAGCAAGCACTTAAGACAGTGAGACAAGGCTTAGTCATCACAACTAGCCAAGTCCATCATTGTCTTTCGATGTAATGATGCTGCTTGACAATGCATAATTGATCTTTTATGTATGGTAGTGACACTCAAGACAAAGAGCATCAGGACAGAGACCTGAACAATAAGTATGTAGTATTATTAGCAGACCCTGTACAGTATTTAAGGAGCTCACCCTCACTGATACACCTCAGCTTCAAGCTAAAGTTTATACATCCTCATTCTACTCTTGTGCTAATCACACAAAGCCTTGAAGCACAGAGAATCAACAAAACAACACATAAAGTGGACTCTGATGGAAGGCTCAAATGCAAAGCCACATTAGTTTATCACATGTTAGTTGATCACATATAGCTTAAGCCTAACAAGATGTTGTGCTGAAGGTGTTGGAAGTGAAGTTGAAGTCAGTGGTGGTTGGAGTTCAAGAGCTGGCTCACCATGCTTAGGTGATGGAACTCTCATGTATGGGCAATAAATGCACATAAATCATGGTGTTAAAATGGCAGAAGATATAATGGGACCCAGAGTTTGTTGGAGGATATCTGTATGTATATCCATACTATTACTCTTTTGATCATCACCTGCTCTCCTTTGATTATCACCTATTCTTACTTACTATATATATATGCACTCTGTTATTATCTGATCACCTATATAGCTTGGCTATAAAAATCCATATACCTCAGTCATTTCACCTATGTTGTGCCTGACTGAGATATGTGTACTATTATTGTGCTCTTTACTATATCACTCACACTCCTTCATAGATCATTACTTATATTTTTCTGTTATTAGAGTTTACATAGTACAGAATGTTGGAGTTAACAAGGTAGGAGTGCAGACATGGTAAACAAGGAAAAATGTTTCAGAAGAGAATGGATGCTAGGATAAAATATTATAACATTAATCTCAGCATTATAGTTGAAAGCTGTGTTATTTACCTAGAATAAAACATCATAACATTACTATATAGGTGATAAGTAAATATGGTCAAGGATAGATATGTATAGAAGATACTCACATCTCAGTGTTATGGTTGAAAGCTGAGATGTGTGGAATGGTGTGACATGCTGAAAAAGGAAGGAATATCAAATAGGTAAGTGAATGTGTGCATATCATACTATTTCTATGTCTAACACTCTCCCTTGAAATATAAATGGTTTGCTTACATGACACCCAGTGCCTCTGCAAACTTCTTGAATTTTGGACAAGCCAATAGTTTCATGAGGATATCAGCAACCATGTTATCAGTTGGGCAGTATATCAGTCTGATGTGGTCTTGCTTGATGGTTTGCTGAATGAAATAGTACCAAACTCCAATATGTTTCATTCATTCATGGAATACTGAATCCTTGGCAATAGAAAGTGCATTTTGACTATCAGAGAAGAGGATAGTAGAGTTTGTTGAGTAAATGAAAGGGTTTGCAATAAAGATGGAGAGCTCTGAGAGGAGTTTGTGAAGCCATATCATGTTCTTTGATGCTGGTGTGAGTCCAACATATTCTGATTCACCAGTGGAGACAGTAACAATTGATTGCTTTCTTGATGTCCATATAACAGCACCTTGACCTATAAATAGAACAAATCCAGATATAGACTTTTGCCTAGGCTAGTTGGTGTATGCTGCATCATGATAGCCCTTAAAACTGATGCCAGGACCACCAATTACAAGCTGTTGATCATGTGTACCCTTGAGATAATGAAGAACTCAAAATCCTGCTTTTAGATGAGTTGAATATGAGTCTTTCATGAATTGTGATAACACTGATACTAGATAGCTGATTTCAGGATGAGATCCAACTGTGATATACATGAGAGACCCTAGCAGCTCACAATAGAGTGCTTTTTCACATAGTGTAACAGATTCCATGGATATGGAGGGTGAATCTGGGTTTAGATCAAGATTCACTTCTATTAGCATTGCAAATGGTGCCATGTCCTGAACTCCAAATTGTTTTGCAATCTGGTCAATGTAGGCTTGCTGTCCAATGCTAATGGTGCACCTTTCCCAGTTCTGAGTGATATGCATCTCTAAGAGCCAATGTATGCATTCAAGATCAACTAGCTCAAAATGTGAGCCTATTTCTCATTTGAATCAGTCTGATTTATTTTGGGAGTCTGCAATAATAGTGAAATCATCTGTGGCAACTGTGACAATAGTATATTTGGTTTCTGATTTGATCTGATAGAAAACAGCCTCATCTGCATTGCTGATGGTGAATTCTAGAGAGATTATTGTTGTCTTCAGAATCTGGTACCAGCCATGTTCTGCTTGTCTTATGCCATACAAATATTTGCACAGCTTGGCATAAGTGTTCTGGCCTTTGAGATGTTCCAGAATTGTGAAGAATTCTTCATATCTGTTTGGGAACTTGATATAGATTTCTTCAGTGATGTCAGCATGCAAATATGCATTTTTGATATCAGCTTGGTCTATAATTGCATTTCAAGAGGTGGTCATAGAGAGTAGGATGTGGAGAGTGAGAAGATGGACAACTGGAGCATAGGTGTCAAAGTAATCAATGTCTTAGATCTGAGAGATTCTTTGGGCTACAAAACAGGACTTAGCCTTTTCAGGCTCACCAGTTTTGTTTTGTTTGATTCAGTAGACAAACCTTGTACTCACAATGTTTGCATCTGTGGGAACATCTTCTTTTTTCATCATCTCCCATGCTTTCTTCTTCTTGCACTGCTTTATCTCTGCAAGCATTAACTCATGCCATTCCCCTTCATCAGAACCACTCAGTGCCTTCTTCATGGTTACTGATTTGACATCCACCATCATAGCATAGTCAACTAGTGAGTAGCTGTCTGGTTCATCATCATCATCTGATTCTGACTCATCTTCAAGTGCTGTTGCTGCAATTTCAGCTGTGATGGAATATTTGCACAAGTCTGGAGGTATAAGTTGACCAGGTTTTGGGGCTGCAGATTGCTTAGAGCAGCTGAGTTGAGAGATAGGATCAGATTCTATGTCTGTGAGTGGAGATTCAGGATGCTTTGGATGAGTTTCTGTGAGTGATTCATCTGGCAGGTTTTTGAAGAGTTTAGAAGTGGTTGATGACTTTGGAACAATAGAGTCAGTATCTTCATTCTCCCCCTTGACTATGAATGGTTCCAGAGTCAGGTCATTCTTGTTGAAGTATATATTATGTTCAATGCTGACTTTTTGCTTTTTGGGCCAGTAAACTCTCCAGCCCTTGGCTTCAGTATCAATACCCACAAAGCAAGTTTTGATAGTATGCTCTCCAAGCTTCTCTGATGCCTTTACTTGGATCCAGCATTAGCATCCCCATGGGTGAAGACCTGAGATGTTAGGCTTTCTACTGGTTGCCATCTCAAATAGGGTTTTTCCTGATGGCATCACTTTTATTGAAGTGCAGTTATAGATCCATTCAGCATGCTAGTGAGCTTTAGCCCAGAGGTATTTTGGTAACTCTGAACTGATTAAGAAAGCTCTAGTCATGTTCATCATGTAGCCATTTGAATGTTTGGCAATCCCATTCAACTGTGGGGAATCATGTATATTTAGGTGTCAAACAGTCCTCTTTGATTTGAGGTGCTGACTAAACTCTTCACTAGTGAATTCTCCCTCTTGATCTGTACCAAGGATTTTGATGATCTCTACACCTCACTGAACCTTGATCCATATCTTATAATGTTTATATAATCCAAGAGTATCTGATTTCTTTGATAGATATCCAGATTTCAATTCATGAGTGTGTAGGTCATAGAACATACAGGCATAGCAGACTTCCTCTAGTGATGCCACAGACATTGGGCCTATCAGATCTCTGACAACCTTGTCACCACTATTTTTGACATATTCATATTAGCCTTGTTTTGGGAATGGCTTATGCTTTGCTTTGGCCTTTACACAGCTCTTGCAAAATTCTAGTTTGGAGTTAAGATCAAGCTTGATTCTTTCAATATAGCCATTAATATATATGTGGCAAAGGGTGATGTGACTTTGGTGACTACAAATATTATATAGCTCAGTGATGTTCACCTTGAGCTTACCTGCCATCATAGCAACATCTGGTTTGGCTGCTATAGTTTGCTGTGCATTTGAGGTTGAGATTATATATAAGCTATCAGCTTTAGGGATTTTTGCAATGATCTTAGCATCTGGCCATGGTGTGCAGATGTACATAGTGTGGTTGGAGGATTTGATATGAATGAGAAATCCAGCACAACTGACTTGTGAGAGTGATATAAGAGTGTAGGCTATTTTTGGTGCATAATATGCATTTTGAAAACTCACAATAGTGGGTTTCTGTCTCTTTCCCATGGGAAGTGATAGTTGAAGATCCTCTTTTCCTATTGCATAGAAAATTTGGCCATTCACAGCTTTGATGGGCTTTGGTTCAATTTTGGTATAGTTTTTGAACCTCTGACATTCAGATGAGTATGCTTTTGATGCTTCACAATCTGCTAATGCCATAATGTTCTCCTGTTTTGCCACATAGACATCACTCTCAGCTCTATAGTCAGATGTACATATCAATGTCATATTCTTGTGATCATTATCATCAGCTATGATGGTG